TTTTCATGAAAACTATTCTCCACTTTGCTCTCTTTAAACCTGTTGTAATGACATGAACGTACAGTACATTAACCCGTGTTTTGTGTGTTTTTGTGTGTTTTCTGACTGCAGACGAGAGACGGACGTCACTGCTTCCCTCCACGATCAGGTGGACAAGCTGGAGAAACACCTCAGGTAGGAGCCTTTATCTAGGTTCATGGAAGTGACGTTTAAACCGGTTCAAGGACATTTTAAACCAAATTAGATAAATCAACGGCTGAATTTTCACGTGTTGAAACAAGATTGTGATTAGTGGAGGCGTCATTTCCTGTTTCACACATCAGCAGCTGCATTTCAACAAACCAGATGTGGCCTAATTAGCATATTTATTCCAGACTTGTTCAAATTTCAGCAACCACCGTTAAGCCCAACTTTCTTCTCCTTCTTCTTCTTCTTCTTCTTCTTCTTCACTATTATTATAATGTATTTATCAGAGCTAGCTTATTTACCGTCTGTATCCTTTATGTGACGTCTCAGGCAGCTGGCTTTTCATCTTTCACTCATTTCTTTTGTTCATTTTTTGCTGAGTTAACCAATTCAGCTCAGAGAATTGTAGAATTTTAGTGGCCTATTGTGATTTTTAGGTGCAGGTTTGGCTGTTTTTTTTGCAGCAGAATGTCACATCGCAGCAGAACAGTGAAAATCTGAAGAGTTTTTACTGTTTCTGGAGCCGATAAACGGTCTAATCTGGGTGATTTGTGTTTTTTAAATCATGCAGATTCAGGTTTAGAGACCTGATCCTGAACATCATCTAGTTCCAGTGTTTGACATGTGAGGAGTTGCTGCTTTTTCAGCCTGAATTGACAGTTTTTGTCACTTGAACATGTCAAGGATTTACTGGATTTGCTCTGTTGTCCCTGCTGGAGCGTCCAGGACCAGTTTCCCGACGTGTCCAGCTCCTCCGTTAGTCCTCCATGCAGCAGCAGCAGCAGCTGCTCGGTCAGCTCAGACTCTCTCTGGATATCAGAGAATCGCTGCAGTGTTTAAAGCACCTCGGGCGCTTTCTCTGTTTCAGGTTAAAACACCTCCTGCTCTCCTCGGGGTGAACTTCCAAACAGTGAGGAGGAGGAGGAGGGAGGATGAAGGCTGCAGGGAATGTAGATGAAGACGAGGAGGAAGCAGCAGCAGCAGCAGTGTGTCCTTTAGACGAATATTTACACCCAAACACACCTCGGGGAGAGTCGAGCGCTTCCAGAGCTGAAGCTTCGTGACTCATCCTCTGATGAATCAGGCTGAAAGTGGAAAGAGTCTCCGAGCAGCTGCAGGAGAAACACTGCTGCTGCTGCATTAGAACACAGGCTGAGAGAATAAGCAGGCTTTAAAAAGACTCGCAGTGGAAACATCCTGACTGTAAAAACACACGCTGTAAAAAATAAACAAGCTTTAAAAACACACACTGCAATGAAATGATGGGAATCTGGCACCGAGGTGGGCAGATTAAAAACACTAAACACACTGGAAGACTGTAACATTACAATAATTTTTTTTAAATGTACAAATAGAAAAAGGAAAAGTAATGGCACAGATGTGGAAAATAGTGTTATTTATTTATATATTAAAACATTTTTATGGTCACACATTTTAATTAAGCATCTAAAAATAAACAAAAAAAAGATTTTTTAATGTTGAAATTATTTAATTTTTACGAGTTGTTTAAATGGTAGTTGTACAGGCAAGCGATGTAATAATAATAATAACAATAAATTTTATATGGCCTATTTATATATATTTTTGTTTTTTCAATAGTCAACATATAAAATATTATTTTTCTGTGGTATTAATTATTATCAATAATTTAACAAAACTGTCAAATTTTGTGAAACCACAGTGTAAAAAAAAATCCTCATTTTTTATTCCCTATCATACTTTTTTTTCTTTTGTAAAAAAACAGAAAAGAAATTGTAAAAACAAAAAAAAGTGTAAAATAAGGATTTTTTTTCTTGCTGATTAAAAGTACAATTAAAATATTGTAATTTTGTAGTCACACATTGCAAAAGAACAAAACTTTTTGTCAAACAGAAGTGTTTAATATGGACGTTATTGTCTTTATTTTTTTTTTTTTTTGTTTTTGTATTTTTTTTTTTTTTTCGTGTGATTTTACTGAATATTATCTGTAATTTGACCAAACAGGCTAAATGTGTAGTACATTAGTCAGTGATGGGGTTATCAGGTGTGTTTGTCCAGTGCAGGTAACACACAGACACACTAACCTCCGCTGCTCGTGTCCGTTAACGCCACACCTGCCGTCTATGCTAATGAGCTGCAGCAGAACATCTGTAGCAGCTCGACCCGCCGACACTCGGCCGCCTCGATCATCCTTCAGCGCTGAGGCACGCCGGCGGTCGCATGAAGGCCTCGGCTCGCACACAAGCAGACACGCACTCCATCACGCCGCCGCTCCGTCTTCCTCCGTCTGCGCCGAGACTCACAAACGACTTCCAGCTGCCAGGATAACGAACGGCTCCGAGCGTCCTCGTCTCTCTGCAGGTTTTATTTAGGTTCTGCTGCTGCTGTTTTCTTTTCTTCTCGTTTCCACCTGCAGCTGCTTCTATCGACGTCTTTGTTTAACCCTCTGAAGCCCTGAAGGAGGGAAGGAAGGAAGTCTGTAAACGAGCCCCGTCGTTTCACCGTTTACCAGCAAGAACCTGCAGAAACAGAACAAATGTTTAACTTTCTTTCTTAACGGTCCTTGAATGCATCATGGATAACGAACCAAATCTGAGCTTAAATTTGTTCTAAATCACTGAATTCTAAGTGTTTTATTTAAAATATTTTGCATCAGATTCTGGAAAAACAAAGTTTTGACACATCTGAGACGAAGTCAAAGTTTGATTTTCTTTCATGAGTTTTCACTTTTTGTCATAAAATATATTTTTGACTTGCTATTTTTTGCGTTTTTTGTTTGTTTCTTTGGATGTTATTTCCTTATTCTGACTTTTTATGTCACGTTTGCATCCTTTTTTCTTTATAATTCAATTTTTTTCTTTTAAAATCTCACTGAAGATGCAAAATTTGTTAATTTTATGTGTAAATTATTTTCTTTATTTTTAAAATCTTCACTTCCTTTTTCAGAATTCTGCCTTTTTCCTCAGGATTTGACCATTTATTCATATCTTAACCCTTTATTTCTTCTTCTTTTATTTACAAACTCACCACAAACAAACTGTTTACACCAGATTCTGTGAAGTAAACAAACAGTAATCAGTGAGTTTCCAGGTTGAACTGCAGCCAGTGTTTCCTCAGAGAGACTGAGAGGAAACTAAAACCTACTGGATCAATAAATAGATGCAGGATGGATCAGAACCAGAGAGCAGAGGAGCCAGTTGGTGGAGATACATCCAGCTGACGGTCCGGAGCATCAGTCTGACTCGTCTTTGTTTGTGATTCTGTGTTCTTGTGGTTCTCAGCGTGGCAGAAGTTCTGGAGAAGCACGGCCTGCAGAAGCCCATCTCCTACGTGAGGAACAGCCAGAACAGCGAAGAAGAGGCTCATCAGCTGATGGTCAAACTGTGCCGACACACCGGACGCAAGTACGAACG